AAAAATGAACTGTTGGAAACAACCAAATACACATGAATACATAAACATACTATAGAAGAAACAAAATACACTATACAAAAAGGTACGAAAATACAAGAAGATACATATGAATACAACAGAATACATGTAACAAATACCAATTACCTTTTGGTTTCTTGAATCTTTCATAGGTTTTTTCCTCTTTGAGCCAACTTGATTTTTGGTTTCTTTTGAAGCTTCATCAACTTGGACTTCTTTCAACTTGTCATTGTGTAATTTACTTCTTCTTTCATCAACTTTGGATGCTGATAAACCTGCAAAATCTTTCTCCGCTTGAGTCAGTTGCAACGAGAAAGAGGGCCCATCAAAATTGAGAATTTTGGTGGGTATACCTCTAGGTAGTCTGTTGAGTGGCGTTGCATCCGACATTAGAGAGAAAACTCAAAGAATCCTAGTGATTAACAATACAAATGGAAGATATATCAGAAAATTGTGTAAATTCGCTAAAAAAACTTATAGAAACAAACTAATGAAAAAGCAATTTCGAAGTAGTTGAATTACCTACGGGGAGAAGCTTTTCAAAATACAACTGTGAAGCTCTAAAAAACACTTGAGAACCAACATGCCCGTAAAAATACGCTTGAAAACAATTGCGAAGAAGAATGGCGTGTGGGGTGATAATGGCGGAGAAGTATAGGCGATAATGGCGGAGGAGAGTTTTTGAAGTGTATGGAACGTGTGTTTGTGGGAGAAGAGGGAAAAGTGTATTGAAGAAGAGAGAGAAAAGCTGATGAGAGGAGATATACGCTAATTAGGTGAGAGAAAATAAAAAAAAATGAGATAGAAAAATATTTTGTAGCATATATTAAGCCTTAATTTTAGGATGGAACTAAATTTAAATTTTTTGCTATAAACTAAAAAGGGTATTTATAGAATGTAATATTTTAAAAGGGTATTTATAGAATATAAATAGGGTACTAACCTATTCTATAGGTGGTAAAATTTCCATGTTTAATCTTATTAAAATAAAATATTAAATATTTTAAATAAATAAAAATACTATAAGTCACAATAACTAATATTTTAAACTACCAAAAAATTATTTAAGAAAAAATAGTAAAAGAAAAATTTATCTAACTTATCAAATAGTAATGTTGTATTAATAAAAATTAAAATATAATGGCATCAAAGGTGTGACCTAATAGTCAATGAAGTGAGTTGAAAATTATGAGGTATTAAGTTCAAATTCGAGCAGAGGCAAACATACTATATCTGTCCAAATTTTAGTGGACAGAGTTAACCGTTACCTATGTTGGTGAGATGTAGCAGGTACCAATAAAATTAGTTGAATTGTGTGCTTGTAATGAGGAAAATAAAATTAAATGTAAAACAAATGAAATACTTTTCTTTAATGAATGAATGAAAAGGTAAACTAAGCAATACATTGGGGACTAACGTGTAATAAACCATGGAAGAGAAACCCTAATCTTATACATATAAACTGGTACACTCAAAATCAACTACCCCATTATCCTCCTTAAAGAAAATCGAAGCTGCGGCTACGTCCATTGCATCTTCGTCGCATCACTCTCAACAAATCAAATCAAATTATGGCGTATGCAGCAATGAAGGCAACAAAACCAGGGCTAGAGGAGCCCCAGGAGCAGATTCACAAGATTAGAATCACTCTTTCTTCCAAAAACGTTAAGAATCTTGAGAAAGGTTTCTCTCTTTTGCCTATCTTTTTTGAATAGTATTTAGGACTAAGGTTTTGAGTCTTACAGATCTTGCCGTGTGCTTATGTTTTCTGCATTCAAGACCCTTGAGAAATGTATGGGAAGATCTTGTCTATCGAGGAAAGTAGAGTGTGACTTTGGCTTTCAACCTTATAATAGTGAAAATCAATATCTAGTTTTGTAGTAAAATGCAGGATTTTGAACATCTTAGATGAGGATTTTAAGTTCTTAACCCATACCTCATTGAGATGGTATGAGATAATTGGTTGTCTTTGTTTTAAAACTGATTTTTGCTTGCGAGCCTCCATATTGGGAATATTTTACATTGCAAATAGTTTATGAAATCAGTAGGAGAATTTCCACAGGGGAGAGATTTGTGAGGCAGACATGTTGAAATACAACGAAGATAAGTCATCTTAAGTAATCAGAAAATTTTCCGCATAATTTAGGGTTCTACTACTAGTAGTACTATTTGGCCCAGGTCTTAGTTCAGGTGGCAAAGGTTGATGGTCACAAGTTCAAGACCTATGCCATTTTAAGTGGAGAAGGGCAGACAGGTGTACCCATTGTCCCCTAGTACTACTATTTTTGGGTTTTCGAACATTGAATTTTTAATTGGTATAAAGTGGCTATTTGCTTGTATCTTGCATCAATAACTGACTTGTAGTTTTCTTGTTTGTATTGACTTATAAATGTAGTGTGTGCTGATCTGGTTCGTGGTGCCAAGGACAAGAGGCTCAGGGTAAAAGGACCTGTGCGAATGCCCACAAAGGTTCTCAACATTACCACTAGAAAGTCTCCTTGTGGAGAAGGTACTATTGCTAGTAGGGGTGTACATGGACCGGGTTGGTTCGGTTTTTATCAAAACCAAACCAAACCAAACCAACTATATTGGTTTGGATTGGTTCGGTTTTGTCGGTTTTTTCGGGTTTTTTTGTTACATGAATATTATTTCAATCTTACTTTGTTAAAATTATAGATAAAGCTTTGATAAGTGAATATATGTTTAGTAAATATGGAAAAAATTGACAAATATATGATCTATTAAAATATTCTAATGGGAGAATCTTTTTAGTAACACATGATAGTTATTTTCTTAGTCGTCTAACAATAATTTTTCGTTAATTTATGCTTTCAAGGTTAATACATGAGAGGATCCCAAATATTTCTACGTTTTCTAAAGAAAAATCACTATAAAGTCTTAAAAATATAAATGAAATTTATATATTTATATGTTGGTTTGATTCAGATTTTTTTACTCAATACCAAACCAAGTCAAACCAAACTTAGTCGGGTTTTTTAATCGGTTTGGTTTGGTTTGGTTTTTCGGTTTGGTGCCGTTTTCCGGTTCGGTTTGAACACCCCTAATTGCTAGTATCAAATTATCAACATGATTTTATGATATGTCTAGGTTCAAGTATTTCTGTTTTCTGTTTGAGTTGTTTAGTATTTGGCTGGATTCAGTTTCTTATTAGTCCAATTTGTGAAGCTTAGCATGGTTGAGATTGGTCAGTCACAAACATATTGTTGTGCGTCAAACAAAATAACAATGATATTACTGCATGAAATTATCAGACCCCCTTTTCTCAGTTTAGAACATTTGTCAGTCTGAAGGGCCCTGTCTATGCAGATGTGAGATGCCCACAAAGTTTCTTCACATTACTAGTAGAGAGTCTCCCTGTCGATAAGGTGCTATTGTTTGTATCAATTATTTGAATCTAGACATTATTAAATCACAAAAACAAGCTCACCCACAGAATCCCTGTCGATAAGGTGCTATTGCTTGTATCAGTTCTGTGGGTGAGCTTGTTTTTGTGATTTTATGATATGTCTAGATTCAAATAATTGCTGGTTCTTGTTTGAATTGCTTAGTATTTTCCAGGGCTTAATTGGTTCTTAGTTCAATTTTGTGAAGCTTAACATGGTTGAAGTTGGTTGTCACAAACATTTTATTGTGTGTGCCAAACAAAGTAAAAATGGTACTACTAGGTGAATTTTTTTGATCCCCTTTGCCTAGTTTAGAGCATTGGTTAGTCTTAAGGACATTGTCTCCACTGTCAGTTGCGGAGGTTGTCTGAGACTCCGAGTGAGTGAGGTTCATCCTTGTTTGTTGATATATTCAGTGTCAACTTCTTTGTAACGATATTTTTGGTGCTTACTGTTGGACAACAGTGTAGAGTTTCCTACTTGGAATAGTTTAAAATATAGGTATATATAGTAGATCTGATTTTTTCTTTTGTTTCTTGTATGGAACTCCTTGTTTACAGTATTAATTACTAATATTTTATTTTTCTTGCAGGCACAAATACATGGGACAGGTTTGAGCTGCGGGTGCACAAGCGTGTGATTGACCTTTTCAGTTCTGCAGATGTTGTCAAGCAGATCACCTCAATCACCATTGAACCCGGTGTTGAGGTTGAGGTCACCATTGCTGATTCTTAGATTCTTCTCTGTTTTCATTAGGTTGTTGAGTTACTCATTATCTGTTCAAGTACTAGTGGTTTGGAGTTTCTTTCTTGGCCGTCTAAATTATGGGCTTAAGGTTTTCTTTATTCCAATTAAAGTTTTGCAGCTAAACCAGATACTAATACTATTTGATATTGGGAAGAGGATTTGTCCGTTATTGTGTGGTTTTCTAGATGAATTATCAGTGACTACTTGTTTTTGGGCTAGCAGAAAAACACCAACCTGAGAATATAAAGAGCACGAAAAGAAAAAAGTTGATCTGGTTTTGCCTTGGGGCCTCTAGAAAATACTACTGTTGCTATCGTAACTTCAAATACATGGCAGAAGTTTCATATTAGTTACGAAAGTTCATTCTGGCTATAAATCTGTGGTTGCATCATTTCATTTTGGCAAATAAATTAATCAAATTTATGATTATCTACGAGCTTTGGGTAACTATGGCTACGATACTTAGCTATTATAGACTTTATAGTAAAAATGAGGAATTTGCTTTCAACATTGGCTTGATTTTCTACAAGAAAATTGCCTTGAGTTTCAAATGAAAATTCGTAATCGGCTATAAGCTTTAAACATATGGTGCACATTTAAATTTGTTGTCACTGAAATTGATATTCTACGACTTGTATGGTAGAAGGACCATCACAATACTTGGGTCGGAGAAGGTGGTTCTCCTCAGGGTCCAAACATAGGCGGATAGAGCTTTTGTGATGCGGAGTTCAAGTTCAACAATACTCAATACTTTAATACTATGAAATGTAATTATATATGTGAAAAATCACTAAAATTGTAACAAACATTGTATTAGTTGCAAAAGTTCAATAAGTTCAGGCTAAAATTGATCGAGTTTTTAAATTTTCAATCCGGATAAGTTGTCACAGTATATGACTTTCTATATTTTTCGTTGGTTTAGAATCTTAGGTAGATATTTACCCTCAAATGTAGGGGATTGTAGAAACTTAGAGGGAACAAATAATTTCTGCAGAGTTTAGGGATAGCAATAAAAAAGATTAGAGATATCTCTTGCCGTCCAAATAAGCCCGCACCATACAAAAGTGATAGAGCATGTTAATTTTAGTTCAACCAAACCAGCCTATTAAACAAGTCACGAGTTTAATAGTAGAGCACCATAGCATAACATCTAAATATACATGGTTGCAAGTCAATCTTGTAAAAGGAATTAAGGTTTAAGTCTCCATCCTCGTTTTCATAGAGTAATAACAAAAAGTTTCATCTGACAGTATTGAGGTAATCAAGTTTGATAAAACATGACCACCCGACTTATAGGGCTATAAGTGAGCAGGGCTTTTGAAAATAGAGAGGTAGAGCACCTAGGAGCTAAGTATTAGAAGAGCGCCCTCTCTTTTCTTCGGGAAATCGAGTTCATTGGGCTAGTTCCTGTCCCCAATATATAACGAAAAGATTGATTGGTTTACTGCATTCATGAAAGCACTTGCCTCTCTGGTGGTCCTTTACCTTTCTAAAAGAGAAGAGAGGTAGTCGCAATAGTAGAAAGTTTTTCTTGATAAATTCGTTGTTTATGCAACAGTTACTTCTTTACCTGGAAAAATTTCGGTTTGTAATATTAACCAAATGGGACATAATGATGTACTAAATAGGAGTAATGCTCCACCAACTTTGTAGTTCTTACAATATTTTTGGTGATATATTAATATATCATGTTTACCCTAAAAATTGGATAACAATTAAGCTTATAATGTGGTTTTAAGGACACGTGATTTCAACTAATACCAGTTGGTAAATATGAATATTAGTAATATAAATTATTAATGATATAAAGCAAACCAACATTGAAACGTAATTCAGCCCTCGAACTGGTCGGTACCAAATAGTTAAGAAATAAACAAGAATATAAGCTAAAAAGAAAGTATTGTATTACTTTGATATGCGTGAATGTAAGGTGGATACAAAATTATTAGAACCCTCTTTATATAGTAGAGGAATCCTATATATGGTACAATTCTAATTACGGAAGTAAATCCCATGATTAGCTAAACAACCGCCCTTGATTTGATTTGTTCCGAGATTTTCGCCATGATCTTCGACCAGTCATGGATATCTCGCATTTTTGTTATTGTGCTTTGCTCGATGTCTATCTCATTTGGTCTCGATCGCTACTGACCTCGATCTTGATAGGTACCTCGATCCTCGAACTCGGTACCTTATCCTTGTGCTTTGGTTTGATCCACTACGAGGCCGATCTTTGATGCAACTCCTTGGTCTCGATCAAATAGTAGAATATGGCAGGCCCGATTTTAACCGTAGACAGATGGTCCCCTCGTTTCATGGAGTACAATGAGAAGAAACGAATTGAGCCTTCGATTTTGTACTTCGACCTGTCATGACGTCATCCTCGTGACGTAAGCGACGGAAGCAACTGAAACGTCCCGTTAGTACAGTTTACTAAGTCATTAATGAGCGTCAGTTGGTGGTCGGCCACCAGTGCCTTTGAACCATCGCCGCGAATCCCTTAAATAGACCTCTTTTCCAAAAAAAAATTAACTTTACCTTCAATCTCTTCTGCTCTAACCTTCAAAAATCTTTGCATTTTTCAAGTTCTTCTTCTACAAATCATCAAGTTTCATTGCTAACCTCTTCTTAAGACGCCAGATCTCTTACTCCCGGTTCTTACCCGCTCTTAAAAATGGCTAAGACCTCAAAAACTGTCCCTTACAAAGAAACTGCCTCTTCATCAAAGTCCACCGGTGCCACCGCCGCGGTGAAACATCCTTTTGCTGACTTCGTTCCGACGAAGTGTGCAACTTCCTCCGATTTCAAGGTGGAGAACACACCCTCAACACCGGGATGATGTGAACCCATGTCGAGGTATATGTGTACGATTACCGAACACCTCTTTGAGAAGGTAAAAGAGGAGTGCAACTGGGTAGGCAAGGGCATCGTAGTGCCTAGCTCTGAAAAATCCATCACTACTTACAAGGAGGGGTATTTGACTGTCTACACCTATCCCTTCACAATAAGTCCCTTGGACCCCATCATCGTTGCCTTTTGCAAGAGGTACGATGTCATCGTGGGCTAGATCCACATATCGTTTTGGAGGATCGTGCTCCTTCTTCGATTCTTTGTAAGTAAGATTGAAGGACATCCTTTTACCCTCGATCATCTCATGCGCCTCTATGACCCTCGGCTTTATCGAGGAGGTATGATCAAGCTTTATCGTCGAGCTACCAAACCCCCATTCTCAATTATAGATGAGACTCGAGACAGAGGTTGGATGGGCAGGTTCTTGCGAGTAAGGACTTTGGACCTAATCCCTGCCGAAGATATGCCGTTCCCCGAAAGGTGAAACATGAAATGTAAGTGTTTGCTTGGCCTTTCGAGTACCTACTATTGCCATTCCGCTTTCTTGTTTGCCCCTCATCTAAACTTTTTGTGTTGCAGCCAAGGCCGTTATGCCGGAAGTGATCCCTAACCTGAGGCAATGGGTTGAGGGATTGGTGTCTCAAAAAGCGTACTCCGAGCATGCCTGGATGGAGTTGTCAAGGGGCAGATGGGAGGCTCGAAACCATAGTAATTTTTTTTCTTTGCAAGGTTTCCATTCATACGTTGTTCTTATAATTATTCATTTTTTTATTTTGCAGGCCTTGGGAAGGACGTGCCAATGAGGCCCCCCTCTGCTGAAGAAGTGGCACTCCTTTCCTCGTCTGCCCCGAAGCAGGGCAAGGAGAAGAAAAGGAAAGAGGCTTTGAGTTCCTCAACCCCAAAGAAGAAAAGGCCGGCTAGAAGGCCCTGTAAACCAAAGGGGGATGTCATCCCCGTAACTCTGGAGTCCGTCCACCAGCTATCAGATGAGACCGAAGATGAGGATGTAGAAGAAAATTCTGGTTTGGTGCTTCGTGTGCGGGCTGGCACCGAAGTTCAAAGAACCTCTGAACAGGCAGGGGTCGAAACTGCTTTGCCCGGTCTAATGAGCCTGAGTCAACAAGAGTTGAATATGCCTCACCCCAGGATGTAGAGGCCATCGAGGAGACGGTCGAGACTGGAGTAGAAATCAAGCTCGAGGCTCCCAGAATGAAGATGATGCCTCCAAAGATCTACTTGGGGCAATAGTGATCGGGGATTCCTCCTCATTCCCTCCAATTCTAGATTCAATGATACGTGACACCCATGTTGCAGAGACTTATCATGGAGAGGGGACCCAAGGGGAGGAAGATTTGTTTTGTGGCTATTTTGCCAATGTGGAAGACGTCATCGGTTTGGGTGACTTGGTCTTACCAAGGAAGAGCTCGAATAAGGCTTCCTCGAGCTATACATTGACCAATCAGTTACCGGCTCCTAGCGTTGATCCCGATTGGAAGCGGCCTCTTATCATCTCGATTCTGGAAGATACACAAGTTTTTTCAGCCCCTAGAGGGGTAGCAAGTAATCTCCGATGCTTGGTCACTAAGGGGGACCAAGCCAAAATGGACGCAGTAGATGTTGCCTGCTTGTTCAACGAGGCCCAGCATGCTCTGAATCGGGTAAGTTCAAGGGCTATTGCCTTTTCATGATTTTTGTCTTGTAGATATTTCTAACATCTCTTCTTCTCTTGCAGGCTTCGGTGTTGCACCACGAGGCCTTTCTTCGACTCCGAGAGGAACGCAAGGTCGAGGTCTAGGGTCTTACTAAGAAGTGCAACACTTATAAGATTCTCAGTGAGAAACTTCAGGTGTACCCGTTGGAGGCTCGAAACGCGCATGAAGAGATGGCCGAGAAGGTATTCTGAATTCTTCATGATAGTGAGGACGATTCGGAGATAACGACTAACAATCCCATTTTGCAGGCTCGATAGAAGCTCAAACAAATCAAAGGCTTTCAAGGGCAAATAAACGAAGTGCGAGCTGAGGCCGAGCGGTTCAAGGGATGTATGGACATTCTAGCTGCACAAAATGAGACGTTCAGGAAGAGCTGGATTCCACTAAGTCGCAGCTTCGACAGGCAAGGGACAATGCATCGGTCCAGGTGAAGAAGGTTGAGGAACTCGAAGCCAATCTAGCCAATTTGGCCAAGGAGCTCGAGGTTGCCAGATCCGAAGTGGTTGCGTCCAATATTAAGGCCCATGCTACTGGTAATCAATACAAAGTCTATGTCGAAGCCACCCTCGAGCAGGCCAAGGGCATGGTTGATCATTCGAAGTGGCAGGCTCGAAGGGAGGTTCTCGAG